TTGATGACCATACCATAAAATGTGCCGCTGTCGACTCTTTGAATCAACCAAACCCCACCTTCCAGACGGTTGTCTCCAATCTTGCAGAAGGAGCAGCCATTGACATTGACGTGCGTAATATGATGATCTACTGGAGCGACACCCAGGCCTGGACTATAAACAGAATGAACCTGACTTCCGGAGAAGTTAAAGTCATCATAAAAGATAACATTGGAGAAGTTTACTCCATAGCTGTTGAATGGGAGAGCGGCTTGATCTACTGGACAGATTTAATCTTCGAGAGGATAGAGGTAGCGAAATTAAATGGCAGTTCCAGACGGACCCTGATAACAAAAGACGTGGAGTCGCCGATGGGAATTGCAGTTGATCCAGGGAATGGGTTAGTTGACATGGCCTGTAGCTTGGCCAAGATTACCCTCTAAGATCAACAAAAGTATAACAGTTTGAGTGTCTCTTTCGAAACGCATGTTTCTGCAAGACTTTTATTGCATTATGCATCATTGATGACAAAATTAGCGGAGAATGGAAGTGAATTATAGAACGAACTTCCGTTGAATTATATGAAACGGATGAAACCTGAAATACTCAAAATGCTTTGCTACAGTTTTATTTATTACTGAGAAAGGTATTAAACAGGATATTTCTTGTATCCACTTAATAACATGATGTTAAATTAGTCACTGTTATTCTCCAGTTAAAACAAATGCTGTAAAGACCATAGGCATAGCTGAATAGTTGTATACTTCTAAGATACTCTACGCCAATCAGGTGCCCTCGTGCCCAAAATATTCTCACATTTGTTTATTTTTCCACAGATACGTTGTTTGGGCGGACCACAATAACACTGCACCAAAAATAATGCGCGCAGATTTGACAGGGGAAAATCATCAAGAGTTGTTCACAACGTTTCATGGATTGCCTCTTTACGTTATCATCGATTACAGTGAGAATCGAGTGTACTGGACCGATATTCACCTTTTTTACACCTTTATCGGATCAATTGGAATCGACGGGAGTGCATATCAAGGCTTAGGATATCTTCACCCGGTTTTCTATCCGTTTGACTTGGCAATCTTTCAAAGCAATTTCTACTGGGCTGATCAGAATTTACAAGGAGTGTCGTGGTTCAATTTTAAGTCTTCATCTCCCACTGTGAACACTCGTCAAAATTTGTCTCCATACATCGTGCTCGGAGTAACGATTTCAGACCTATCAACGCAGCCTATGGGTATGCCATTATAATTTCATTACAAAAGTGTAAATCACTAAATACTGTCTAATTTGGAAATAATTTTATAAATAAAATCCAAGGAGTGCTAAAATTTGGCACTCAGAGGAATCTTTCAATTCAATATATCTCCAAATTGGACCAGGGTGTGACCGTATTCGTTATCTGTTCGTTATGTGGCCAACAGAATTGTGCAAATTACTTGAACGTTTTCCATTTCTTGTTTAGGTGAAAATATAGATTTGAATTCTTGTCTCTCCCCAGCCGTTGACCAGCCATGCGCAGTAAACAATGGAAACTGCAGCCATCTATGTTTGTTAACTCCAGGGAGAGGAAGGAAGTGCGCATGCCCTCAGGGCGTCGACTTGAATGACGACGGAACGACTTGTGCTAACGGTAAACATAACTATACTACTTAGGAAATAAGAGAACAAAGAGACAGAAAATGGTTACAACCTTTCCTAAAATGACTGATTTGACTTTTGGTTATATATGACCAATTTTCAATGTTGTACACTACTTCATTTCATGAGTTCGAAGTTTTGTTATAGCATATTTTTAATAATGTACGGCTCTTAAAAGAGATACAAGAAGGAGACATGGAGTCGTGATACCATGTACTATAATGATCA